TCCGGGCCGGGGGGGGGGGGACAGGGACAGGGGACAAGGACATCATGGGGACAGAGGGACATGAGAGGGACATGGAGGGGACACCGGGATATGGGGACACGGGGAATAGAAAAGCTCTTTATTGGATGGGCGGGGCTGGGGACAGACAGGGACAGGGACAGGGACAGGGACACGGGGACAGGGACACGGGATAGGGACATGGGGACATTGATGGGGGTGGCAGGGATACGGACATTGGGACATGGAGGGACAGGAACAGTGTGGGGGGACAGGGACACGGGGGACATGGAGGGACACAGGGACATGGCGGGGTGACAGGGACATTGTGGGGACAGCGGGACATTGGGACATGGGGGGTGACAGGGACACAGGGACAGGGACATCGTGGGGGGGACAGGGACATTGTGGGGACAGACGGACAGGGGGTGGCAGGGACATGGGGACATTGGGGGACGGGGATGTGGGGGTGACAGGGACATTGTTGGGGGAGACAAGGACAGGAGGGCATTGGGACATTGTGGGGACACGGGGACATGGGGTGGGCACAGGGACACGGGAGGGTGACAGGGACACGGGGGGTGGCAGGGACACGGGGACACGGGGACATTGTGGGGGGGACAGGGACATGGTGGGGACACAAGGACAGGGGGTGACAGGGACAGGGCGGGGGCCCGCGGGTGGCCCCGGGGTCACAGTCGCGGTGTGGCGATGTCACAGCGTCACCAAGGTAACGGTGTCACCGGTGTCACCGGTGTACCGGTGTCACGGTGTCACTGTCACTCACAGTTTCGTCTCCCCCCTCCCCCCCCCATTAATTAATTATTTCATTAATTAACCCATTAATTAAAAACGCCATCGGCAGCGGGGCGGGGGAGGGGACAGCGGATGGTGCCAGCCCATCCCCCACGGCACGGGGGACAGGAGCGTCCCCAAGAGCCGCCGGTGCCACCCCACGGCCGGGGAGGGGACGCCGCGGGGTCACAGGGTCACAGTGCCACCCGCGGGGTCACAGTGCCACCCGTGGGGTCACAGTGCCACCTGTGGGGTCACAGTGTCACCTGCAGGGTCACAATGTCACCTGCGGGGTCACAGTGCCACCCGCGGGGTCACAGTGCCGCCTGCAGGGTCACAGTGTCACCTGCGGGGTCACAGTGTCACCCGCGGGGTCACAGTGCCACCTGCAGGGACATGGTGTCACCCACGGGGTCACAGTGTCACCTGTGGGGTCACAGTGTCACCCGCGGGGTCACGGTGTCACCTGCGGGGTCACAGTGCCACCCTTGGGGTGAAAGGGTCACCCACAGGGACGTGGTGTCACCAATGGGCTCACAGTGTCACCCACAGGGTCACAGTGCCACCTGTGGGGTCACAGTGTCACCCACAGGGTCACAGTGTCACCCGCGGGGTCACGGTGTCACCCGCGGGGTCACAGGGTCACCCGTGGGGTCACTCACAGTGCCACCCATGGGGTCACGGTGTCACCCACAGTGAAGTGGTGTCACCCACAGGGTCACAGTGTCACCTGCAGGGTCACAGTGCCACCCGCGGGGTCACGGTGTCACCCGCAGTGATGTAGTGCCACCCACAGTGATGCGGTGTCACCCGTGGGGACAGGCATTGGTTGGTGTCACCCACAGGGTCACCCGTGGGGAGGTGGTGTCACCCACAGGGACGTGGTTGTCACCAGTGGGCTCACAGTGTCACCCACAGGAACGTGGTGTCACCCACAGTGCCACCTGCGGGGTCACGGTGTCACCGCTGTGGTCACGGTGTCACCCACAGTGATGTGGTGTCACTCACGGGGACAGGCATTGGCTGGTGTCACCTCGGGGTCACGGTGTCACGTGCCACCTGCGGGGTCACGGTGTCACCGCTGTGGTCACGGTGTCACCCACAGTGATGTGGTGTCACTCACGGGGACCTCGGGGTCACGGTGTCACCTCGGGGTCACGGTGTCACCTCGGGGTCACGGTGTCACCTCGGGGTCACGGTGTCACCTCGGGGTCACGGTGTCACCCACGGGGTCACGGTGTCACCCGCAGGGACAGGGACACCCCGGGCTGTCCCCTGGGGCTCTCTTGGTGGCCGTGGTGCCACCCCTGGGGACACGGCTCCTGTTGTGGTGGCACTTCAGGGACCAGGGGACAAAATGTGTGTCCTCAGCGGTGTCACTGTCCCCATCAGTGTCAACTCAGTGTCACCTCGGTGCCACCGAGCTGTCCTTGTCCCCAGTGTCCTCAGCGGTGTCACTGTCCCCATCAGTGTCAACTCAGTGTCACCTCGGTGCCACCGAGCTGTCCTTGTCCCCAGCAGTGTCACTGTCCCCATCGGTGCCACCTCGGTGTCACCGAGCTGTTCTTGTCCTCAGCGGTGTCACTGTCCCCATCGGTGCCACCTCGGTGTCATCTCGGTGCCACAGGGACCTGTCCTTGTCCCCCGCTGTCACCTCACGGGGACCCGGCCGTGTCCTCGCCGGTGTCACCACGAGTGCCACCACGTGTCCTTGTCCTCGCCGGTGTCACCCGGTGACATCTTCCTCCTCCTTGGTGTCACCTCGGTGTCCTTGTCCTTGTGCCTCAGTGTCCCCGCTGTCACACCAGGTGCCACCCGCCGTGCCCGTGTCCTCGCTGGTGTCACCTCAGGGGCCGGGGGGGCCCCTCCGTGTCCTCGCTGTCACCGCGGGGCCGCCGGCGCGTCCGAGGGACCGTGGGGGTGTCCCCAGGGGTGTCCCCAGGGGTGTCCCCAGGGTGTCCCCAGGGTGTCCCCAGGGTGTCCCCAGGGTGTCCCCAGGGTGTCCCCAGGGTGTCCCCAGGGTGTCCCCAGGGGTGTCCCCAGGGTGTCCAGAGTGTCTCCAGGGATGTCTGGGTGTCCCCAGGGGTGTCCCCTGGGTGTCCCCTGGGTGTCTTGGGGTGTCCCTGGTGTCCCCAGGGGTTTCCCCAGAGGTGTCCGGGGCTGTCCCCAGGGTGTCCCCACGGTGTCCCCTCTGTCCCAGGGTGTCTGAGAGTCCCCAGGGGTGTCCCAGGGTGTCCCCAGCCTGTCCCGGGCTGTCCCCAAGGTGTCCCCAGGGTGTCCCTGGTGTCCCCAGGCTCTCCCAGGGCTGTCCCGGTCCTGTCCCGGGCTGTCCCAGGGCTGTCCCGGTCCTGTCCCGGTCCTGTCCCGGGCTGTCCCCAGGGTGTCCCCAGGCTGTCCCGGTCCTGTCCCGGTCCTGTCCCGCTCCTGTCCCGGGCTGTCCCCAGGCTGTCCCCAGTCTCTCCCCAGGCTGTCCCGGTCCTGTCCCGGTCCTATCCCGGGCTGTCCCGGGGTTGTCCCCAGCCTGTCCCGGTCCTGTCCCGGGCTGTCCCGGGCTGTCCCCAGGGTGTCCCGGTCCTGTCCCGGTCCTGTCCCCGTCCTGTCCCCAGAGTGTCCCCAGTCTCTCCCCGGTCCTGTCCCGGTCCTGTCCCCGTCCTGTCCCCAGAGTGTCCCCAGTCTCTCCCCGGTCCTGTCCCGGTCCTGTCCCGGTCCTGTCCCGGTCCTGTCCCGGGCTGTCCCGGGGTTGTCCCCAGCCTGTCCCGGTCCTGTCCCGGGGCTGTCCCCAGGGTGTCCCGGTCCTGTCCCGGTCCTGTCCCGGTCCTGTCCCGGTCCTGTCCCGGTCCTGTCCCGGTCCTGTCCCGG